AGAAATTTGATGAAATAATGTACATTGTGTTTTTAAAATTCCCTTTATAATATAAATTCAAATAAATATTATAAAATGCATAAATGCAAATGTAGCTTTCATCTAACGTCATATAAAATTAATCAGAAAGAATAGCCAAAAAATAATCGTCAGTAATGTTACAATTTTTACGTAACTGGCGGAGTTAATCGATTCGTGAAATTAATGTGATAGAGGGTTGCGTCCTGCATCGTACGGTGAACGATATCTTATTAATCATCGTTTCATCGCTAAGAGCTCCAAGTGTAAGAGCTTTAAGTGTCTTCTCATAGTCTCGCGAATACCGTTTAAATTACCACCTTTACATCCGTCCAACGAATGGCACTTTGTAAACATAGCGGTTACGCTCTTGTGTGACAGACCGTACCTTCTTCGAGGCTCGTCTCGTCTCTCTGCGTTGTACCTTCTGGTTCTGTTCCCTTTCTCCGTTGGTCGTTCGATGACGAAGCGGTCCCGGTGTCGCGCAGCAGCCGGACATCCGGTAACTCGCTTGGCCTCCTTTGATGTCTTTGAGCAGGCGAATTCGCGGGATCATACGTCGAATGAAATATCGCTGCGTAGCTCTTTCTGCTTTCGTCGTTGATGCATCTCGTCGCGTTTTCGAGCGAACCCGGGGTCCCGGATACGCGGCGCGGACGCGTGGTTGCCGTGGATTACTCTCGGCCTCTGCCAGCAAACGGTTTATTGCCAGCACGAATCTCGCACCTTTCGACGCGGCCCTTTGGTCTTTAACCGTGGATCGTGTTTCCCCGAAAACTTGCTCGGGATCGTGACAGCTATCGGCAGCCGCGATTCCACTCGACGAAAGGGTTGTTTTTGGGCCTGGAAGTTTCAGGGAATTTGGAAGCGACAGACGTTTCGATAATATACACGGTTTCGACTGGTTTAGTTGATGATTTCATTCGAAGGATTTTCTGTTTGGAGTACAGTTGTGTACACTTGCCTAAGTATATAAAAGTATAACCTTATTCATGTACATATTTATAATGAAAAATTCATTTGGTAATATCAAAACTATTATTTAATTTAGTCAAACTTCTTCAGTAGCCACAGAGAGTACGAATATTTATTGGGGTTAACTGTAGTTGCTAATCCTATCGCATAATAGTTTACTCGGGCGTCTTAGACATCAATGGAACACACAATTTTGGACTACGCGCCGGTGGAAGTAGAAGAAATACAGACCGAGCTCCCCCAGCGTTATAAAGTCGAAGACTTATATCGCGACCTAACAAACAAACGAGTTTCGCGAAAGTTGGACGGTCGGCGGATTTCCAAGCACAGTTCGTAGACTCTCGAACGAACGAAGAAGCGCAGCGGAAGGGAACGGACACGCGACTTTTTCAAGTAATCGCGCGGGAAGTGGAAGAGTTACTGCCCGCCGTTGGTATTCGGCCATACGATGGTTTATTCAGGAACAATAGACAGTCCACCGTATCCGGGACCTACGTCGAAGAGGAGCGGCCGCATCAAACATTCGATACCGAGGCCACAAATCGGAAAGCCAGACGTCGACGATATATTATGATCGTCACGGACATCCCCGACGTTCTTTACCGATTCAGCTGCTGTTACCCGGGGGAAGAAAAAAAAAAAAGGAAAAAGCGGTGGCCTCCTTATTTCATATTTCTCTTGGAATATCTTACGTGCGCTTTTACGGTCCCATTGACGACACAAATGGAATATCTACCGATGTGCCAGTAAACACTGTTGGCCTTGTTAAAAACGCATTTGTGTTAGAGCGGGATAAAACGGAGCAGCTAGGAGAAAGACTTGGCACCCAATTTGCTTGAATAATTCCCAATTCTGTAAATAAAACAAGTTACTTATTGGTCTTTAGTTTATAAAGTATATTCTAGTGTATTTTAGTGAAAAGACAAGTGGATGACTATTGGCACAGTGGTTCTCGGATCTCAAGCATAACAAGCATTAATCGCTTGACCTATTATACTATACCTTCACCAATCTAGAATCCCTATACCCTAAGCGTCTAAAACCCTGAGAGTCCATCTTGGCTTCTCCACGAGCATCGTCCTTTTTACCAGCTCGTCCGGTGCGTCGAAAGGTAGCATAACCGTGTAGGTGGTGAATAATGAATGGCGACGTCGAAACAACTTGCTGGACCAGCGTCGAGGACGCGGATCAGGAGGACGGCGTGTAGGTACGAGAAGTTCGGGGTCTGGGACGGACGCAGTTACGGGCGCGAGTTCCGGGTGGAACGACATGAAAAATTAACGGGCTCGCGTTTTGACGTCGCGTCAAACTTTCGTTGTGCGGGTGATAGATCGTCCCGCGACCGTGTAGATTACTCTCGTCGCGCCTCGAACGCGATGCAAGAGGGAACAGATGGACGGGAACGGGGAGGGAGCGAACAGAGTGGTAACGAAAAGACGGTTTTGAATTTCTCTCTTAACGAGCATTGGACAAATCCGAATTTTACGAGCGACACTCGCCCGGCGCTGCCCGCTACCTGTCGACTCCAACGACGAATCTGCGAGGGCTAAGCATTTTTTGGAAGATTTATTGCCGCCCCGGTGGCCGTAACAAACCCGCCGCTTTCCTCGTCCGCCCTGAATGCTCGTCGTTGGGTCATTTGCGCGAGTTTCAGAGCGTTCGCGTGTAGTCGACCAGTTGGACTCCTCGAACGATTAAGGACAGTTTGATTTCTACCTTTTACCGGGCCCTTTCTATTTTAACCCTTGGAAGTTGAGGCCTATAAAGCCTGTGTTTGACATTGGTATTGGGAGTGGATATTCAAACTTCGCGATTCACGGCATCGGTGTGTCATTTAACCCCTGATGAAGTGTTTCATTCAAATATTCCAAAGACAAACTACCATCCACTTTGCGTCCCAGTCCTGATACCGATCAAACGGCGTAATAAAAAAGGTCGAAAAGACGCGGAAGCCTAATAAAACTCTTTTCCCGTCCACGGCTCCGTTAATTACCATAAGTTAATTACAACGACGCGAAAGCTCCGTCAGCCACCCCTCTCGACGGCTCTCGGGGGTGCTTCCCATCCCTCCTTACATACACACGCGCACACATAACCTATGTATATATATAAATATTTATATGTACGCGTATACATTGCATCGGCGCGAGAACTTGCCACCCGATCCCCCTCCCTAGTCACCTTTTCACCCTGGCCACCCCCGTTCATATTTACGAGGCGAACTTTGCTTTAAGCCTGCCGATGTTTTAACTTTATCGCGACCGAAGTATGATTTTACGAGAAGCCCGCGGGCTAAATATGCCCGCGTCGTAAAATTAACGGCGTTTCCATAAAGGAGTCCGGGGTGCTTGCGTTAAAACTCGATAAAAGCCAATAAAGCATCGCCACGGAGCCGCAGTTTAGTATAGTTTATCGCTCCTTCCCGCCACGAAGTCACGAGGCGTTCGGGCTGACCGCTGCCAACCTGCGCGCCCATTTGCAGCCTCCTGCTCGGATAAGACTTACGAGGATTCCGCGGAAGACGGGTTCGAGGACCTCGCGACCCACGATCCCGATCCTCCGGACGAAAACTCCTCTGTCCCTCGGCTACGACGAACCACCGAGTCGCTGTTAATTTTTATCGCTCGAGCGTGGTTCGTAAAAATCTTGCGGCAACTTAGGATCGAAAACATCGGAGGAACGAGTTGATTCGCGATTGCGGGGTGAAGATAAAGCTTTGTCGCCGAACTTTCCTGACATTAGCTTAGGATGTATAAAATGTCCTGTAGTTAAAGCCCATGAACAAGTCTGCAGTGTGAATGTCTCTCCGCTCCTCCTCGATTTCCTTAAAAAATATATTTAGTCGATGAATCGACCACCTCTGAAATAGAAAACGAAACTGAAGCAATTGTTTTCTCGCCGAGTATCTCGTGGACTGCTCCGCACCTCGAGTATCGATAGCCCGTGGGGAGACATTGCAAGGGACGGGCCCCAATAATCGCGGGTTATTCCAATCGAATCACTGCACACCGCAAGGACATTCCCACAGTATCTGCGTGTACTTGCAAGATAAGTGGTCGATTATCGTTTGTCCCCCATCGGTAATGCCTCTAAAAACTGCATCCCCGTTGGCGGCAGATAGTGTTGTCTCAGTTAGTATCCCGCGACACGATCATTTTACAACTGAGCTACTATACTGGTAATGGGTAGGTTTATCTGCGACAGGTACTGGTCGCCCGTAGGGATACGCTGCCTTAGCGTCCCTCGTATACACCTGCATTTTTGCACATCGGTATCTTTATGGCGGCATAAAACGGGTTTACCCGGCAATTTAAATGCCGTTCGCGGCACTAACGGCGAACCTGAGTACATTTTTGTAATTCTAAAATTAGACTTATCCTCGCCCCCACCCCCGAAAGGAGGATAATGCTACAGGCTAATTTCGTTCAGGTTCAGGACGTTATTGCTCCGCGTGTGCGCGTTAAGAATATCCTCGAAATTACCCTTTGCGTGTCAATTGTCAGGTAATAGAACGTTTAAACTCATCAGGTCCTCGAACTCGAATCAATTTACACGAATCAAGGCATCACCGAAACTTTTTGTCAATATGATACAGACAGATACACACCAAAGTCAAAATGTCTTTTCAGGACATAACCATAAACCGCTGCAGGTTCCCCTGATTCAGAGACCTCATCAAGTCGATGCCTCGGGAGGCCATTCGAATCGCAGATCCAGCGATCAGGGCGGACAGATCTCGACTGAATCGAAATTGAAACGTAAACGGAAGCGTTCCATCACCCTTCGAGCATTTTTCCTAGACAGGCGAGGGCCCGTGTTCCGTGGCAGGGCCCGCGCGAGCCTCGGTCTCCGCATTGCAAGAAGGAGCCAAACGAAAAGGGACGCGGGTGTCCGCATAACTCTGCGGGATCTAGCGAGCTGCCCGAGGAGGAAGGACCCCCACAACCCTTTGAAGGTTTATGCCGATTCAGGAACGAGTTGATTCATGAAGACGGGATGGACCTCCTTGAGATCCGCGGCTCGGTGCCCCCAAGGCCGTGGCGGGTGGTCCCGCGGCTTGATTTCTTGTTTCCTCCACCACGACCGATCTGGCCTGTGCGTTCGTTCTCCTCCGTTTCTCTCGGCTGCCGTGCGAGAGCAGGAACGAGAGGGACTACCGATCGGACACGGCCGCGGGACGACGACAGAACCAGGGAACGGGGGAGAGAGGGGCCCGAAAGAAGGGAACAGAGACGCGCAACGGCATTCTCCGCTGTCCGTATACCTATAGCGATTGTCGATTTAAATGTTTACTAATAACCAAGCTTGTCCCGCAACCACCCAGAAGTCGGTCGCTTTGCATTTTTATAAGTACATCTTGCGGTCGGTTCCGAGAACGGGGACGTTTCATATTCATCTGCCGTCGCCGGCTGCCGGCCGACTGTCCCATGCGTTGCCAGGAGGAACCCTGGCGCGTATTGTCTCCGTCGTCGGGATGCATGCTCCACGATTAGGCGGACAACGGCATAATGATACGCGGTGCTCGTCCGCGAGGACGGTTCCAGTCGTTAAACGAGCAGAATCCGTTCGAGGGAACGTTACACGCTGGTACGTCCGTTTTTGCTCGAGGTTCTAAAGGTGTGCTGGAATTTTTATTGTTTCGGTGGGGCACCTTATCAGAAGACATCGTCGTGGCCACATCGCAGCCATATTTCTCAGAAATAGATATCTTATTCTTCGAGATTCAGTTTTCAACAAACCTTCCACTCGAATAAAGACCCTCCCAGTGTCTCGCCCAAGCGTACTCACCCTGTTTCGTCGCCCAAAGATCCCTCGATAGTTTCTCACCGATCGACTCCCCGGGAGCCATCGATCAAGCTCCAGGACGGATAGACAGGGAAAGAATGACGAAGCCTGTCAGATTTTCTGTTGTTTTTTTTTTTATAATGATTCGTTTATTGCGAAAGGACACAGTCTGCAAGCCATCTGCCAATGTGGCATCGGCGAGCTCGCGTGAAATTTTGGACACGAATGACTAAAAGGTGATGGCGATCGTTCACTCTCGACATGACATGATATGTTGACAGTCGCTGCGCCCTGCAGGTGTCGCGCCTTGTCCAAACTACCTGGGGACCGAGTTTAGTGTAGTACGTCTTTGTGTTTCTATGCCCGTTGGGTCGCGAGGACGGGAAAGCTTCTCGCGGCAGCGGGGCGCAACGCGATTTCTAAGTTCTGGCGGATTACGGGCGGAGCGGAGCGCGTTCGACGAAATCTCCGCGGCCTAGAGACCAGCAGAGAAGACGACTGAGGAGGAAAAATTGGGAGGCCCTCGAAGGTGTCGTCGTTCGCGTCCTCGAGCGTCGAACAATAAATAAATAATACTTACGAACGGAGAAACCGAGACATTCGCGCGGATTCAGGCGCGTTCCGTCCGTCGCCCGTAATCCGTTGCAGCGATCAACGATCCATACCTCGTCATGATCGACCGAGTCGACGCGAATCGATAATATTATAAACATTGCAATAACAATAATAATAATATAATAATAATAATAATCGTAATCATAATAATAATAATCATCGTCGTCATCGCCGTCGTTAGTATGAATTATGATCTCAAATATTATAATAATAATATCGTACCTACTCTACATACAATACATACACTGGCCGGACGCTCTCTACTGGGCCCTCTCTACTATTTACAAACGCATAAATAATTATTATTATTACCGTGTATTTATATATATAGTACTTTATGTATATTATGACTGTCGAGTCGACGCCTAGGATAGTTTTCATTTAAACCGCGATAGCTGCTGCTGCTGCTGCCTACGGAGATAAACGGGAGGGGGCCTACGATTTCGTTTTCTCCATTTCGTTTCCTTGTTTGCTTTTCGTTGAGGGCAAAGGAGAGAACCGACGTGAAGGAGGACGAGAGACCGGAGGATGCGGGAGTTTGTGTCGGAGGGCCGAGGACCTAGAAAGGATAAACGAGGGGAGCCCGAAAGACGATAAAGAGATAGAGAGACTAGGAATGGAAAGGGGACAGAGATCGAGGGGATGTCGAGGACGGGGGGGGGGGGAAGGGGTCAGTATATCTCGTTCCGTCGTTCTTCGGTCAGTTACTGTACACTAATTACAAGATCGTAGTCTCTTATTATTGTCATCCACACCACACAACAGCGCCGCGCGCGACTGACTCCGCGCGACGGCGATCCGTCAGCTCGGTTCAGATCGAGTCAGTTAAATCAGTCCACGGGTTCACCGGGGAATCACACTCGCCCGGGGGACTTGAGCTCCTGCGTCGGTGGCAGACTGCCGCTCGGATGGGGCGACTGGTCGGAGCCACCCGAGGAGGCTGTCGACGAGGAGGACGGGGACAGGCCCGAGGACGCGATCGTCACGAGAGCGGCGCGTCCACCGCCGCCCCCGGTTATCGAGATATGTTTCACGTTGCCGCTGGCCACGGTCGAAGCGGAGGAGGTCAGTATGCTGGGGGCGGTGGACGGCGGCATTACGCCGCTGAGACCACCCAGAGTCCTCGAATAGGTCTCCAGCAAGGACATGTCGCCGGATCCCAGATGAGAGGCGCCGTAGAGGTTCCGGTAGAAGTCCGGATGCGGTCGCACGAACTGCGTTCCCGTGTGCATCGCCGGGTGCAGGGGATGATGGGGCGGCAGACGGCTCGCCAGAGGGCTCACCAGCTTTCCACCGCCGCCGCCCCCGCCGCCGCCACCGCTGCTTCCGCTGTAGGGCGACGAGAGACCCGACATCGTCGTCGGATTCGGACTTTGCTGTTCGCCGTCCTTGCTCGCCATGTCGGCCAACGACCAAATCCGTGGTTTCGTGGTGACGCCGCTGACCGTGGACGGCGCGCTGGTGCTCGCCGGAAGATGATGACTACTGGGAGGCGTGCTCTCCGGGGACGGGTGACGCAAGAGTCGACCGTGAGATGACGACAGATACGCGGGATGCTGGAGCTGCAACGGATGCCTGGGCTCTCTCTGATCGTAGAGACACTCGGGGCTGTCGGGACCGCTGTCCGCGCGCGACTCGCTCCATTCGCTCTCGGTTCTGCCTTGCACACCGGCGGATCCGCCGCTGGTGCCGTGGAGAAGGTCCATTCGGTGCGTGGGTCGCTCCCCATCCTCGCTCGAACCAGTACCGGAGTCCTTGGAATCTGTAACAGGGAATGGAATCTGATTTTAAGGGATGAAAATGGGAGATTTCGTTAGAGACGCATTAGTTGCGCATCGCGGATAGAATTTGGTGGGGCATTTAAAATACCTTTACGGAAAATATGTGCAGGTGATAATTGCGGCGAAGTAATAGAAGTAGATGCGTCGATAAAATCGAAGAAATTAGTCTTTCCACTTACGGACGCTATCGAGCTACGAATAAGGCAAGGTGACTTCAGAGTACGCCTATGCGCGCGCTTCTGAAAATTGATAGCGCTCAGCTTCAAGTTTACAAACTGCCAAACGTGTTTCTCGAGGCACGAAGAGACACTCGGAATCCTAATGTGGTACATAGTGTCCAGGAAAGTATATAGAATTCATCCCTGTGATCGTAGCTCTGGACATTTAACTGCGCTACCGTCTTAGCCCCCCACTGTTTTTACGACCCCGCTATATTACCCCTGTCGACTATAAAATCAATAATGTTCGAGGGTCCCCGGCACTTTTAGAAAAGTGTTCAGGGGTTACGTATCCTTTGTCGAGTAATCCTCACCTAGCCGATCCTTCTCGTCCACGCTCTTTCTTCCGCTGTCGTCGTCCTCGTTGTTGTTGTCCTCGTCCTCTACCCTGTTCCTCGGCTCCCACGTCATCTTGTTCTCTTTCTTTAGACGTCTGCGCGCGTTCGCGAACCACGTCGACACCTGCGTCAAAGTCATCTTCGTGATGATAGCCAGCATAATCTTCTCGCCCTTGGTCGGGTACGGGTTCTTCTTGTGCTCGTTTAGCCAAGCCTTCAGGGTACTCGTTGTCTCGCGCGTTGCGTTCTTTCGTCTCGCGCCGTTGAGGTCCATGCCATAACTGGAACAAATAGAGCGGGTGCCCGTTAAACAACAATGTCGCCCTAACTCTGGCTCGGATGGTCGATCTCCTTTCTAGACCTGACCTTTGAAACGATTCGAAGTCGAGTTATTCGATTCGTGTATTGGACTGACGCTGTCAGCCACAGGGATAATCCGTCGTGACACTTACCTTTTTCTAATCTCAAAGCATACGAGGTAAAGTTATTAATATTTTGAAAAATACTTCATTCTTAGCGGTGCGTAAATAAAAGAAACGGACTTCGAATTCCTCTAAAGATCCTAGGACCTCGAGTTCATTGCGGGCTAGATAGCACGAATCGAAGTCTTTAATGGACCGCTCGGTAGAAGCATTCTTTTATTAAGTCCTTCGCCGTTGGCCGTTCTCATCGTCGTAGGATGCACGTGACCCGGATATAGGACGGTCGGAGACGTACACAGGTCGCGATACGTTATAGGAGCAAACTGGATAAGAGAAGACACCGCGATCGGGGCGGAGTGCGGTAAGGGAGGAAGAAGATGGCAAAGTCTCCGGTGGAACCTCGTGTCGGGAAACTTATCCAATCGTGAGGCTCGTTACGCCTTCCCCCTGGCTCGGTAGAAAAGTCCGAGTCCTGCTCGGTTAGAGGAACGATATAAGCGGGTAGCTACTACTTTCATCCCGAGAGCAGATCTCTATCTAACGGTTTAAGCTCCTTCCTTCCATTCTGGCCTGAAGGAGTGGAGTGGAAAGGAGTCGAGTGCCAGCGTGGATTCCCTCCCCTCCTCGCCTTACCCAGTCGGACCGGAGGGACCGACTCCCTGGGATCCCATTACTAAAAGACTAACCCTTATCAAAGATTAAACTTCGGTATAACTGCTGAATCGACGGGATCGAAATTAAATTTTCCACCGTCAGGCGAACGGCTGGGAGATGCCCGGCCTCCCTCTCGCTTCCCTTTCCTACTTTTTTCCTTGTTCCACCTCCACTCGACTCCGCGTCCTCCTCGTAGCGGTCTTTCCACGATTCTCGGAGTGCTCGATTCTCTTTTTCCTCTCCGACGCGAGTCACCGCGAACGTCAAACTCGGAAGAAACAAGTGGACGGAATTTATTCGCAAAAACCGCGGCGAAGAATACTTCCGAGCCGTCGATACGGGTGACGAAGTGAATCCACGGTGTTCAAGGGTCTCGCGGATCCGGTTTAGTTGGAAAAAATTCATCGGAAAACATGATAGGACAGCTACGAGAAAATATTCAAAGAATAATAGGATCTAATTTAGTTAAGTTTCAGTGGTTTCGAGTTGGAGAAACAATGGATGATCATTTTCTCGTGGCACCAAGATGAAACTTTCCCATTCAAACGAACGCCACCGTATGGACCACGCCCGGCGGCGATTTCCACCGTATAAAAATCGCGGTTCCGGAATAATCTCTCAATAGAAGGATCCTGAAAGTCACCCCTCCGTCACGAAGGCAGCGAGCAACATCCTGAACGACGAGATATCGCTGATCCAAATCCCCTCGGAGTCAACTCGGAAGCGCACCTTTGTCGGCTACGAGACTCCTGCCCGCCGTCACGGGGAGCCGCCATTATTGAGCTTTATTTTCACCCTCTTTCGTCCTAACAGAACCAGAGAAAAAGAGGGAAGACGAAGAGGGAGGGCGTGTGTGGACGCGCGAGTGACGTTCCCAGGGTTGGCGGCGGAACGAGGGGGATGGTCGTGGAGATGGGAAATTAATAAAACTGTCACTTATCTACCCTTCCCCGGGGCAGGCCTACACGCGGTATCTCCCGGGCTCTTCTGTCTTCTTTCCGCCCCCTATCTTTCCGGTGACGGTTGTTCCATTCGCGGCTATCCCCCTCTCGCTTCCACCCACCCTGGTCTGCACGCGCGGGATTCGTAGCGGGCTGAAACGAGGCGCTAAACATTTCAATTTGGCATCACAGCCGCTTCCACCCGTCGAGGATGTACACGCAGCGGTTCACACATTCTCCAGTCCTGCTCTTTCCTTCTGCGCACACGGTGTCCACGCTCCCAGAGTCGCTCCTAGGAAACTTGCGCGAGTACCATCTCGAATTTGCTCTGGCAAAAATTACACCCTTGGGCACATATTTTAACGCATTGTTGACCGGTACTTTTACACAGAAGCGACTTCATGACACCGGCTATTATTTCGTAATTGAATGTGATATAAGGTACCGAGCGATATAAACCCAAATACCGAGAAAAGTATATTCAATTCTTAAAAAAGCTTTGAAATATTTTATATTGCTCTGGGTTTTATAAATTTAAATAAATAATACAAGTGCAATCACGACTCGTGACCGCTCAACATTGCGTTAATGAAGTACGCGGAACGTGGAATCCTTTTTCAGGAGCAATTCTTCGTACGAATCGAACAGTCCTTACAACCTAACGCATCGTTATCGAGATAAATCATTCCATAAATTGAAGCGATGATTGCAGGCCATTCGAGAAATGAATATTTCCCACTGATCTTGTAAACATTGCACGCGGGAGAGTGCATCGCCATCGAGTTCAAGATAACGATACATTATAAAATACTTCGCACAATTGTTTCAACGTTTGAAGGAATCGTTGTCCGCGTGCCACGCAGTTACACGCACTCGCGCCAGGACTCTCCTATCCCATCCATCCAGAGTCGAGGGCCGAAAGCTGAGTCGGTGTACGCGGGCAAAGAGCGAAAGAGCCGAGATACGGCAAGGGTGTGGAGAGAGGATAGAAGGAGGAAGCCTAGATGGACCTGTGTGCGCGCTGGGCGAAACAGAGAGGAACAGGAAGACAGGAAAGAGCCGAGGGCGAGAGGAGAGGATGGCTTAACCCCGGTCTGTTTGCGAGGAGCAAATGGCGTTCTGCAGTTATTTTAAAATTCAGCTGGTGGCAGGGGGAGGAGGTGCGCGGATCGGATTAAAAAATCAGAGTGGAAGCTTGTTTCTCATGATAACAGCCAGCCGCCCCCGAGAGCGGGAACTGCTGCTTTCTACCCGATTTCGTCTCCCTGCCACCCGCCGCCGCGTGTCGAGTCCCTATATCTCTCTGCCTCTTCTGCGTCCACCTGTCTCCCTCCTACCCTCCCACAACCCCGACGGGGTTTCTCTGTCTTCTTTATACCCCTACGTGGCGTTTTTCGGTCTCTTTCCCCCCGTTGAAGCGTCGCTTCTGCACGCTTCTCCCGATCCATTTCTCGCTCAGGCTCTCTCATCGGTATCGCTGCAGCCACCGCACCGGAGCATCGCGATCGTCGACAGGCTTTAAATACCCCGGCTGTACGGTCCCCGAGCCGCTCGAATATAGACCTGTCGCGTTATCTATATACAAATCGTATTATATACGCGTATATACGCAGCTACGCGCTCGCGCAACGCCTGCGATCAGCCTCTTTCCTCTCGCGCGAGAGAGCTAATCGCATCAGCCGATTGTTTCCATAGCGATTGTTAATCGGACCGTCCTCCAGTTCTCGCTTCGTCGTTGCCTTTGTTCCCCGTTGGCAACCCTCGCAGGGGCAGCCCTCGAACTCGAGCCGACGCTGCTGGACGTCAAGATGACTTTATTTTGACTGTTTCGCTCTTCCATTTGTATTTTGCCGAGCCAATCTTCGCTGAAATATATTTATCTCTTTATGTATGGACGGAGAATCGGAAACAAATTTGGGTTCGGATTGGAATTTTCCGGATGTCGTGCCACTGCTTCAATCATTCGTCGGTGATTGATTTCTTACGAACGATAGTTGTTTCATTAATTGGAAAACACCTGAGTTCTACCCTTAAAGGTGATTGGAGACCTATCACTCGACACCGTCATACACGTTTAAGGAAGCGGCTTTAAATCATCCCAATTTACGCGTAGCGAAGTTCTCCTGTTTCGTGTCCATTGGCAAGAAGATACACAACCATCCCCCGAGCACCAGAGGCGATCAACCATAAACGTCCACCGAAACGGCCATTTCTCGCGACCCTCTCTCGCACGGCGGTTAACATAAACGCGTTTGTCAAGGCGTAGCCTTTAAGGGGGATAAAAACGGGGGTGAGTGACCATGGCCAGCTCGAAACGAGGCAGGTGTGCGGCTCACGCGACTCCGCCCCTCGTTACCACTCGTAACTAGGGGTGATATCCGACTTCTTTCTACCCTCTCGCTCGTTCTTCCGTCGGCTGACGCGGCTCTTTCTCCCTCTGTCGCCGGGCGCACACCTTTCCAGGTAGGGTTGCGGGCTTCGCGCGCTTTTATCAACTCAAAGGTGCAGCCATTTTCGTTGACGTCGCCATCTTCCCCTTCTAGATACATGTGCACGCACACGATCTGGCACACGTGTCCGTACGTGTGGAGGTTCCTGTCTCGTGGTCGCGTTTCAGTTTAATCAACCGCGAAGCCACGCCAGCCTTCTGTGGTCTCTTTCATCAGCTCGTCCTCCTCCGCTTGTCTCGCTGCGCAACCACGAGTCGTCGATCCTCAGGTATATTCGATCCGCGACCAATACGATCTGCTTAGCCAAATGTTTCGCTAGAACGTGTAGAAAATGATCGCCCAGAACGATTCAACCGAGCTTCGAGCTCCATTCGAATAGCCATTCGTTTGGGTAACGCGGTTAAAATATAGCTGAAAATTTCAACTATTTGGTTCTACTTACAATTAGAAATTTGTTTGGAGGATCGACGCTCTTCAACATATGTAGACAAAGTACTCGGTGGTCGATGTGAAAAAAGGGCCAGGCGTTTTTCCTTGTTCAATTCAGAGTTCTACATCTCTAGACGCGTAGATACCTAGGTCTACCCCATCGCCATCTACTGCATAACTGCACAGGGTCGAAAAGGGCCAGAGAGTTTATATTGGAATCGTGCAGCGTGTACGTATGTCGCATTAAGCTCTTGGAAAAGACGCGCGACGCGTCGCGAGTAAGTTTCGCGAGCGCGGTGACAGTCGGTTGTTCCACATCGCAACTTTATTACCAGTTGGTCGCAACGTGACAGATCGATCGTAAACTTCCTGTTGAGCGTGTGTT